ACGCCACCATGCCCAGGTAATTTTTGTATTTTTAGTAGAGACGGGGTTTTACCATATTGATCGGGCTGGTCTCAAACTACTGACCTCAGGTGATCCACCGCCTCGGCCTCCCAAAGCACTGGGATTATAGTCGTGAGCCACTGTGCCCGGCCTCTCATTTTATTCTTGTATGCATTAACCACCTTCTCTTTATTAACCCCTTCTCATTGCCCTTGCCAGCCTCTGGAAACCATCATTCTGCTCTCTACCTCCATGGGATTAATTTTTTTTTTCTTTTTTAGCTCCACATAGGAGTGAGAACATGCAATATTTGTCTTTCTGTGCCTTACTCATTTCACCTAAGATAGTGTCCTCCATTTTTATACAGGTTGTTGCAAATGACAGGATTTCATTCTTTCTATGGCTCAGTAGTACTCCATTGTGTATATGTACCACATTTTCTTTATCTGTTCTTCTGCTGATGGACACTTAGGTTGGTTCCATATCTTGGCTATTGTGAATAGTGCTGCAATAAACATGAAAGTGCAAATACCTCTTTGATATACTGATTTCCTTCTTTTGGATATATGCCCAGCAGTGGGATTGCTGGATCATATGGTAGTTGTATTTTTAGTTTTTTGAGGCAGGGTCTCACTCTGTGGCCCAGGCTGGAGTGCAATGGCATGATCATGGCTCACTGCAGCCTCAACCTCCTGGGCCTAAGTGATCCTCCTACCTCAGTCTCCCAAGTAGCTGGGACTACAGGCATACACTACTATGTCTGGTTAATTTTTAAATTTTTTGCAGAGATGGGATTCCACTATGTTGCCCAGACTAGTCTCGATCTCCTGAGCACAAGCAATCCTGCCTCAGCCTCCCAGAGTGCTAGGATTATAGGTGCAAGCCACCATGCCCAGCACATTTTTAGTGTTTTGAGGAACTTCCTTGCTATTTTCTATAGTGTCTGTACTAATTTACCTTCCCACCAGCGGTGTACAGGCATTCCTTTTTGTTGTCATCCTTGTCACCATTTGTTATTTTTTATCTTTTTGATAAAAACTGTTTAACTGGAGTGACATGACATCTCATTGTGGTTTTGATTTGCACTAGACCTCTACCTTTCACTGTATAGAAAAATCAAATCAAAATGTATTAAAGACTTAAATGTAAGCTGAAGTTATAAAACTGCTAGAAGAAAACATTAGTGAAATACTTCAGGACATTGGTCTGGGCAAAGATTTCTTGAGTAAGACCTCAAAAGCACAGGCTACCAAAGCAAAAATGAACAAATGGGATCACATTGAGCTAAAAAGCTTCTGCATGGCAAAGGAAACCATCAACAAAGTGAAGATACAGCTTACAGACTGGGAGAAAATATTTGCAAACTATTCCACTGTTGAGGGATAACCAGAATATATAAGGAACTCAAACAATTCAATAGCAAAAAAACAAAAATACAATGTGAAAATGGGCAGAAGACCTGAATAGGCATTTCTTGAAAGAAGACATACAAATATCTAATAGGTATATGAAAAAATTGCTCAACATCACTAATCATCAGAAAGATGAGCATTTTAATACCAAGTCATTGAAAATAACGTCCATTAAAGAGTGTTGTGTTAGCAGATGACAATTATTTTCTATAGCAGTTTTAAATTTTTTTTTTTTTTT